ACTTCATCTAGCACCACCAATTTGACAACAACTTTATATCAATTTTGACAATAATTTTAGTTTTTTTATTTTATATTATTGAAAATTAATCTAGTTCATTCATTTTATCTCAAAAAAGAAAAAAAACATCTAGTTTATTGTTTTATTTTTTTATAAATGAAAAATTTATTTTCTTTCCGGGTTGTTGGATTACAATTTCATTTGGTGTGTTTTGTCGGGATTAAATTTGCTTCTATAAATGTCAACCCGCGTAGAAATCTAACTTTATGAACTTATTTTATAGGATCTAAGCAGTAGGCCAAAAGTAAAATGTTATTTCGAATTACCTGAATCCATAAGATGGAAGTTTAAACATTCTGTAGTAGAACCGGCTTGGTTTTAGTCTTCCTCATCTATCCAACTTAGACCAAAGATTCACAATACTCTCTACTCTCTGTCACATGAGGAAGAGGAAGCTAAAGAGCATAGTATATTGGGATTATAGGTTCATAACCCAGTATGATAACGATATTTGTCCAACGCACTACACCACTAACATTTATGGACTCTAATTAGACAACTTATTTTATGCTAACATAAATAGCAGTATATACAATTTATCAGAAATTGTTACCCATTTAATCAATTAATTTAATTAATTCCAACAACCTGAAAAGTTCAACTATTATATATATATTCTCAAATTAAGAATCCCCATAAAATAAAGTTTGGTTTTACACAATAGTTTTTATATTTGATTAAAGTTTTAGAAATGATATTTGAGGGTAGATTACGAAACAAATGAAATTATTTTGTTATTTTTTTTAATAATTTTACGCCACATAAGGTAAGTTCAATCAAATTTTATTTAATGGCATGTTGCGACAATGACTAAATAAAAATATAATTAAAAATTTAGAATATAATTGAAACATTTTAAAATTCAAACACTAAAATAACACGATATTTAAGTATTAAATTTAATTATTCATCTATATATTCATTAACCTACTAAGGAACCTTGATCTTTTTTTGTTATTTTATTGTTATTGGTGATATATTATATAATTGAACATGATCAAGTAATTCTCGAAGTATATGCTATAATTGTGTACTAATTTATTAAAATAGTTCTTATTTAAGTAATTATACTATTAAATTTTAACCCTTTTTTTCCAAAAAAAATTCCCTTCGTCCAAGGAGAATATCTTTTCTTGATAGATTAAACAATTGAACTTTTAATATTCTATTCTGATTTTTGTTGTCTTTGTAGATCATCTATCAAGATTATATCTTTGTTCCTTTTCTCTCTCTAAATTTTATATTTTGTAATTTATTTTGGTTTTAAATTTTAATCCATCTTCTTCCAAAATTAATTTTTCATTTAGTTATCTTTTTTAACTTATTCCCATCTAGTAAAATGCAACTTGTATTATATAATTAATTTCATTAGGTTCACCAAATCACTATCTTTATTTTTAAGATGCTAACTTTTTTAATAGTATAATAAAATAATGTTCTCTGTATTTTAAAATGTTTATATTAGTTTATTAAAAAAATGTTCACATTAGTTGACGAAGTTTTAACTTTTGTTCAATTTAATCCTTGTACTCTCTAAATATTCATTTTGATTCATGTACTTTTAAAAGTGACAAATTTTAGTTCATATTTGAAAATTTTTTATCACAAAATTTATACACGATGCAAAATCCTTTCATACAAATACATTAAAAAGTTGTGTCAAGTACCTATGTTTGTAGAAAAAAATGATTTATGACTAAATTTCAAGAAATTTAGTAAGTGAAGTGTCGTGCTAAAATTGTGATTGAGAGAAAAAAAACGAAAATGAAATGACCAAAATAAACACTTTTTAAAAGTATAGGGATAAAAAATAAACAAAAGTTGAAAATATAAAGACTAAAATAAACTAAAGTTAAATTACGACAATCAAAATAGTATTTAAACCCCAAATAAATTTTTTATTTAAAAATGTTAATAAACAATTTTTTTTTAACAAAAATAGAATATAAATCAAGTAAAATGTTTGATATACATTATTTGAATCTCAACCAGTCTATAAACTTTCTAAACATTTATTTTAGTTCACGAACTTTTAAAATGTTTAGTCTGATCATTGTTTTTTTACTACATAATATCTATCTATCTGATATGCTAGTCCCAACATACTTCCAACTTATATTTATGTTATCAAATTAATATGTATATTCGAAATCAAGTTGTCCATTCAATCACAACGACAAAATAACAATAACAATGAAATATAAAAGACCTATCAAATCTAAAAATTACAAGATTTAAACTATTTTTTTAAAAACATATCATGTAAAACGTTTTAATTTATTTCTTATTATTTGTTTAATTATGTTTCTAATTCTCTTATATAGTTTTATTTATTTTTAATTATTTGGTTTATTATTATCAAAAAGAGAGGGAGAAGTTCATCATGTGGTACTATTCAACTCCCCACCGAACCCAAAACCACATTCTCCTTAAATTCTCTATTTAATGATTAAAAAAACAATTTAATTATTTTTTCAACAATTAATTAAGAAAATCCAATTTTCCATATAAATAAAATTAGGCTTCAGCGGCGGATTCTTGTTAGAAGAACGAAACTTCGTGGAAGCTGCCATGGCGGATCTCCCGCTCCAGTCTCCTCCATTTAAGTCGGCGATTCTTCTCCTCTTCCATCTCGAAAATCCTCTTTCTCCTTCAATTTCAGTTCCAATTTCAGTTTCAGTTTCGATTTCTAATCTTCTGTACTTTCCGCCATGAAAATCCCCAAGCGATTTAGCCCTAAACGCCTCTTCCGATCCAAGAAGAATCGCGCCGACGTCTCCCGCCGCTCCGATCCGCCGTCGTTCGGCTCCGCTACCTCCTCTTCTTCCTCCTCTTCCGAGAACTTCTTCAAGCCTCAAACCGCTGCGAGTGCAGGCGGCTACGGAACTCCCACCAGCGTCTTGCCCGATTCCGCCGCCGACTGGTCCGAAAACAACGGCGTTGTGTCCAGGAAGGAGCTGGAGGCTATTCTCCACCGGATCGGAGCGGATCCGCCGTCGGAGGAGGAGGTGGCGATGATGCTCGGTGAGTTCGACGGCGACGGTTTCATACGCCTCGAGGCGCTGATGGACCGGGTCGGGTCGGGGTTCGGCCCGGCCTGCGAGGCGGAGCTCCGGGAGGCGTTTGAGTTCTTCGACGCCGACCACGACGGGAGGATCACGGCGGAGGAGCTCCACGGGGTGTTCAGTTCCATCGGAGACGAGCGGTGCACGTTAGAGGACTGCCGGCGCATGATAGCGGATGTGGATGAGAACGGGGACGGGTTCGTGTGCTTCTCGGAGTTTGTGCGTATGATGGAGCTGCAGGGATGATCGTCCGATTTACAATTAATCTACGGCTCTCTCTCTCTCTCTCTCTCTCTTGGATTTTAGGTGATCGGACGGCTGTGATGGCGTGGATTTTTTTTTCCTTTTCATTCGAGTGTATCTAATCCATGTAATAGACACATGATAATTGCTCTGGATCATCGTGGCCGGTCCGATCCGACCGGATCAATCCTTCTAGAGAAGAAAAAAAAAAGAAACGAAAAATTAGCCACTCAACTAACTTTTAATTKATAGTTAGATAGAGTAAATGTCAATAGTATTTTTTTGCTATTTATTTTTCGTAATATTTATTACTTTTTGTGTTTTTATGGTATTCACATTTTAAATTTCAATCGACATGACTGACACGTGACTTATGATTGTCGAAAATATCGACATTTTATCCTTATTTCTTTCTATTGAACATTTCTGTAATGAGTTTCGATTCGTTCATATTAATTGGATGATCTTTCGGCCAAATGAACGTCTTTTTTTTGGCCTTTTCATTATTTGGTAGGGGTGTTTTCCCATTTGGCTTTTACATTTTGTCATGGATGCTCAAATTCAAATGTAGCCCGGTGTGGTTAGGTTCATTTTGCTAAAAAAAAAACTTTGATGTTTCTTGATGGGTTAAAATGTAGTTTTGGTTAAATAGATTTTTTATTGTTTATGTTATGAATTGGTCCGTGAAATATAAGAAATTGTATTTTTGTTCTAGCGAGAATGCTTCCTTTGATTTTCTATTTTTCTATTACTGAAAAAAAGTTCAAAACATGCTTACAATAGAATTTAGAACTAATCAAAGGTTTGTAGAAAGTGCCCAAATCACTCTTCAGTGATTTATAGTGATAGTTAAAATTGCACAAAATTAGGTAATATTAGGAGAAAAAAAACCTCCCTCTCTCTCCCAAACACTAATCTCTAAAAATAAAATAAAAAATATTTGTTTGTACGGGCGTTCATGGATTAAGGTTATTTTCAAAGTATAACAATAAAATGTAAATGATAATATCTTCAGGATATATTGTTATCTATTTATTAGTTTTTACTTATAAATGTACTTTAAAATATAAAATAATATATACCATACCTGTGCTATACAAATTAATAATAAATATACTTCTCTGAACAAAAAATATTTAATTAAATATAGATATTTATAGAAAATCCATAATAAATCAGTCACATAAATTTTTCTAGATTTTTATTTTTTATTTTTTGGAAAAGAAACGAGACATGGGTCAGGAGGGACAAAAGAACTCTCGATTTTAATTTGATACATCTCAAAATTTGTTATTTTTATCTTTTTCTTCATGTTTAAAACCTTTCAAATTTCGTTAAAAAAATAAAAATAAATAATAATATAACCCCTCAAACTCTCTCAAGTTCTAGACCGTTTGTATTCTTTCTCCTTTTATTTTTTTTATTCGGTAGATTATAATAATTTTAACTTAATTCYGCCTCTCCCAATTGTTAGAATAGAAACCAAAGCTTCAAATTTTATTATTTTAAGTTTTTTAGTTCTATTTCTACTTTTGTTTTTAAATGTATTTCATATTGTTTGATACGTTGATATTTGATATATGTTTAGGTTTGCTTACTTGTATCAATATAGAATATTAATGTGTCTACAAAAAAATATGAATATAGATATGAAAAGTTTAAGAAAATTTAGAATATAAAAACTTATTGAATCTAAAAAACGTGCTACAAAAACGGATTGAATCTCAATAAATTTTTTAATGAAGTAAAAGTAATAAAAATGATAAAATRATAGAAGAAATGATAGGTATAGACAAATCAAAAAATAAACAAAAATAGTAGATGATGATATTTTTTAAAATGAAGCATCTGATCAAACAAAGTTCAACCGGAAAAAATAGTCATATTAAGCCTTCCTTTCAAAATTTTGCATAAGGCTACATATGATATCTCSGCCACTGAATATTTTGAAGTATTGTTATACAATAAATAAATAAATAAATAAATAAATAWATATATATATATATATATATATTTTGTTTAAAATTAAATCAAGACTTGTAAGTCGATTTTATTTACAGGGTGAAAGAGTACTCCAAAAAATTTTAAAAATTATCTTTAAAAGGCATTGTAGAATAAATAATCCATAAAAAATTGTTAAGTGAAATAAAATTAAAATAAATATAACTGTATATAATTTTTATAACGAGTAAAAGAAATCATTTAAAAATTAATAATAAGTTCAGGTAGGTTCGATTAAACTAAAATAATTTTAGGTGAAACATTGAACAACTTAGCTCATAAAATTTTCATTTATTTGAATTTAACCCAATCTAAATCTGAATTGGTTAGATTGATTAGTTTTTCGGATCATCAGGAGTCCGTGTCCCCCTTGAACTTTTAGAGTTGTATTTATTTAGTCTTTTAATTATATTTTAAAAAGTTTGTAATTAATTAGTGAACTTTTAGAATTTGTGTGTTTATTTTACCTTTTATATTGAAAAGGTTATAATATGTCTCTAAACTTTCAAATTTTGTATCTAATCTCTTAATGTTGTTAACTTTATTGACGCTACTAAACACATGAATATACAATACATTATGTAAGCGTTAAATTGATGGAGTAAGAAAAAGAAAAAGACCCATCAAACACAAAATTGAAAGTTAAAGCATCTATTAACAACTTTTAAAATCCTAGATTAATTCAATATATTACATATTTTCAAAATACTTTGTCACTAATCTACTTACATTTATATATTAATTAATTATAATTATAGAAAATAATGATATATCTGCACATTCTATAACAATGAACTATAATCACTAATATACCTTAATCTACTCATATTTAAAAAGTTTTCTAGAATTGTAAATGTCTTTCTTTAGGTTTTACTTTGGTAATATTGTATACAAACCATGGCAGATTTTTAATTACTCTTAAATTTTAAACCAATAACATTATTTTATCAAAGTTAGTGTTGACTGTTTAGACTTCAACCGGCCCAACGAAAAATGGAAGTAGCGCAAGTTAGGAAATATTCCCACATCGAAAAGAAACGATCAAGCCTACAGATATTTATAGGAGTATATGAAGTGGGAAGGCCACGACCTTACTTGAACAGGATCTGTTCTATAGGTTGTACATCTGTTTCCTTGAGTTCTAAGGGAGGCAAGAACTAAAGTCTGGTGGATGATTTACTGCCCCGCGACTAGAGCGTGAGTAATGGCTCTACCGGATCTTGGTCCGGCGGCTGTGGAGGATCGTTCTTGGCATGGCTCGTCCTGCTGGGATGGTCGCAGGGCGGTCTGACAGACTCCTAAAACTTTTTTTCCCTCCTGGGTTTTCTTTCTTTTTGCTTGTGTTGAAACGAATCGAAGAAGATAGGCGTTCGTTTTCTGAATTTGATTTGCTTCGTTTTCGTAATTTTTAGTACAGACACCATTCCCTTCCATTCCCATGTCCTCCGGCGACCTTTTCTGTTCTTCTCCATCCCTTTTAAGCCCTCTTTTTTACTCTCTTCCCATTACTTGACAACAACCATTCACTTCTCACAACCACCAACGCCTTCTCTTCTTCTTCTCCACGCATCCCGAGACCTTCATAGGCTGAAGCAAATCCATGCTTCTATCATTCTCTCATCTGGGTTCGACACTGTCTCCACCGCCTCCAAGCTCGTACGCCTCTATGCCCACTTTGACGATCTTCCCAGTGCCGTCTCTGTTCTCAATGCCTTCCCTGAACCTGAACCCATGTTGTGGAACTCGATCATCAAGTCTCACGTTGAATCGGGTTTGTTTGTTTCTGCCCTTTTGTTATATAAAAAGATGAGGGAATTGGGAGTTGAGCACGATGGCTTTACGTTTCCGATGGTGAACCGAATTATTATGTCGATTCAGCTTGATGTGGTCTATGCGGGAATGGTTCACTGTGTTGGAATTCGGATGGGGTTTGGTGCGGATTTATATTTCTGTAATACAATGATGGAAGTTTATGGGAAATGTGGGTGTTTGGTTTCTGCTCGTAATGTGTTCGATGAAATGCCTCACAGAGACTTGGTTTCTTGGACATCGATGATTTCGGTGTATGTTTGTAGGGGTGATGTTGTTTCTGGTTTGGATCTTTTTGAGGGAATGAGGAGGGAGTTGGAGCCGAATTCGGTGACGATAATGGTGATGGTGCAAGCGTGCTGTGCGACTGGAAATTTGAGTCTGGG